ATAAAAACCGACTATTGGACGGTATTCATAGTCCGATCATATTTCAAGATTGTCTTAAGCCTTGTGTCCACGATGCTAGAAATCAGTCCGAGACCTCGGATGAAGGAAGACCTGGATAACATTTGTCACGATCAAGGTCATTAGAAATTGTTCTTATTTTCATTTTTACACTAAAAATTCATTTCTACATAAAAATGTTTATTATTTAAAATGTGTATCTCAAAAATACACTTTATAATGATGCTTTATCAAATTTGCAATTGAAATTACTCCTCGTCAATTAAATTGAATTTAAGAATACAACATGGCGCGAAATTTGCACGCTATGGTTGAACGATTTCAGAAGCTCACTGTCACGTCCCGCGACAAATACCGTTACAAATTTTTTTTTATTAATATATATAAAATTCACTGTAACACCATAAACACTACGCGACCTTTAACCTTTACTTAAGTGCGTATCGTGCGTATTTAAAACCATCTTTTTCTTGGCGCGTACTTGAACTCATTAGCATATGCTCACGCATAGCCGCATTTTCAAGCTGCAACCTCATTGGCCATTACGCATACAAACCTGACCAATCTTCGCAATTCCTCTAGACCTAACGAAATGTGAACATTTTCACCAATCACAACCCAGTATTTCTCTTACTGTCGCGATCACCTAAAAGAATATCAACCAATCAAGATCCTAGAAATCAATCCTCCATTTCCTGACCATCTTCTAACTCCCTATTTAACAGACTTTCCTTACGAACAGTTTATAAACCACCTTTTGCATACCTTAAGCCTAACCCACATGTCTTAATACTCGCATCCGAAATCTTTAATCCCCCAACGACCCATATTGCATCCCCGTAAGATACCATCTTTATGAAACCTTGATCAATCTCTATCAAATTCACAAACAGAATAAAACATTTAAACTTACATTCTTATTCTCATTCTTACTCAACTATAATCCTACCGCTTTCAACCCTGCGACGAATTCAATACGATAATTACACAAA